CATTCTGGAGTGCCATCTTGCTGAACATGGACACTTCCTGAAAGACAGATAAAGGGGCCCTGATGATTTCCACTGAGTTTCCTGGATCTCTGTTGGTCCCTCTGGATTAGCTAGCGTTTTGCCCACAAAAGGGTCAGTGCTGCCCTTCCATGTATCTTTCTGAGGTCCCCGCCCCCAAATCAAATGAGCTTCTTTCCCTTGTCAGTAAAACTTTTTATAGAAAGAGTGTCTTTAGAAACAGGGCCCATACAAGCAGGCTTTAGAACAGACGGAAACTGGCACATACAAATATCAGTGTTTTGCTTGGGCTTGACTCTGGATCTTTTTGGTATCTAGCACTGCTTCTGTGCCAACCATGCCTCAGAATGTCCCAGTCACTCAGAGCAATGCAGATAATGCTTTCACGCATTACATTTTCTTCATTCATGCAATTCTTAACTAGCTAAACATCAGAACTGTGACCCAGGGAGGTGGTGCGGTCTTTCATTTTCCCATTTCCTTTGAACCGTGCAAATTTAAGCCATTTGCACCAAACATATGCAATCCTAGGAAGCAGGCAGGAATGTCATCTAAATCAGAGATGGAGACAGGGTTTTTCATAGTCCGAGTACTGAAGTCCTCTGACCGAAGTCCTCTGACTTCAGTGCTGAACTCCTGCCCTACCCCTGCCACTCGGGCAGAAAGAATCCTGCCAACCTCTGTGCCCTGGAGTCACACCTGCTTCTTGGAAGCTCAGAAAGCCTTGGGGTTTCCTGCCTCACGTCATGCACTGGATGCTTGTAAGCCTCCTGGTTCAGGACTTCTGAGCCTCTGCCATCAGAGTAATTGGATTGCACCCTAGGGGAAAGCAATGTGTAGGACTTTATTCTGCCTAAACATGCAAAGAATTGTACCTTAAACTAGCATAGTGAGTGGTGATGAAAGTTCGAGAATACCTGGAAGGCTGCAGATTGCTCATTTCTGCTCTAAATAAATAGATGTATAAATGGAAGAGCAGACAGCCAGGTCCAAAGAACAATCCAAAGCAAAAGGAAGCAAGATAAGGAGATTCCATGCAAAGTTACCCTTTGCCCGAATTTCTGTATGTGAAATATGAAGGAGAGGGGAAGAAGTGGTGACTCAAGCACAGATTTAGCTTGGCCAGATCTTGCATTTCCACAAAGAAACCATGGATTAGGGTTAATTATAGGAGATCTGATATGCTTCCTTTGGCATTTTAGGGTTTAGAAGGGAAAACAATGTGTAATGCTAAAAATAAAAATAAAAATGAATGACTTCCTTTTTCCCTATTTTGTCAGTACTGTGCATTTTAGGATAATTTTCTTGAGGCTTCTTCAACTGTTTTCATGTGACTTAATTCCCTGCTGAGTCTCTCTCAAAGGGAGCATCTACTTCTTGTTAATGCAGAAGAGAAGCATTCGTAATGCAAATGAATATTCTGGCCAATGCAGGTTTACATTTCCATTACAAACAGAATTAAGAAGGGCATTGCCTCTTGGGGAGGAACACCTCTTTGGTTCTGTGAAAGTACCCCTATAAAATAGATTTTTAAGGTCTTTTAACACAAGTGGGAACGTTGTTCTCCAGATGTTGTTGGACCACCATCCTAATAATCTGAACTTCTTCCATACCTGTTGATACTAATGGAGGCTGCAGTCTGACAACACCAGAAATCACTGCTTCTCCTTTCTGATCTTATACCATATCTTTGCTTTCCTGTGTCCTAAACTTAATCTGATCCACAGTGAAACCCTGCCTTGGTTTAATCCTGGAACTCTGTACCTTCTATTCACCATTGAAAATGCTTTTGTACTCCTGTTTTCATGGCAAGCTTTATTGCCTGAATCTCTTCACCCTGTGCCTTTTACATATTACATCTTTACCAGTTCGTTCATTCATTCTCTTTTCTGTACCATCCAATAGCCAAGGCTCTCTTGGTAGTTCTAAAACCCAAAGTAGAACATAATATAAACATAATATAAACTCTCTAACACACACAAATTTAAAGCAGTTAAAAACAATTACATCCCGTCCGGTGGAGCTTTTTTGGGTGGTACAAGGGCTGGTTCATCCTGGCCCTAAGAAAGATCCGGTACCACCCTCACAGGCCCACTGTAATGACTTTGCCAAGCATTTTAGGGAGAAAATCACTCAGATTTGTCATGAGCTGGACTCCCCTAGTGACTCAGAGGCTTCCGGGGAGATACCAATGTCGCTGTCTGGTCCAAAATTGATGGATGACTTTCAGTTACTGCGGCCTGATGATGTGGACAAGGTGCTTGGACGAGTACATCCCACCAGTTGCCTATTGGATCCTTGCCCATCTCGGTTAATTAACAATGCCAAGCACAGTACAGGGACAAGGATCTTGCAAGCGGTTAACGCCTCTCTGAGGGATGGCCGGGTACCTGCCCCTCTAAAGGAGGCAGTAGTCCAACCGGTCCTGAAGAAGGCGTCACTGGATCCAGAGATGGCCACTAACTATAGACCAGTGGCCAACATCCCTTTTTTGGGCAAGGTGCTGGAATGGGTGGTGGCGGGACAACTCCAAGCACTCTTGGATGAAACTGATTATCTGGACCCATTTCAGTCCGGCTTCAGACCCGGGTACGGTACTGAATCTGCCTTGGTCGCCCTGTACGATGACCTGTGCAGGGAGAAAGACAAGGGGAGTGTGTCGCTGTTGGTTCTCCTGGACCTCTCAGTGGCTTTCGATAACATCGACCATGGTATCCTTCTGGATAGGCTTGCGGGATTGGGGGTCGGAGGCACTGCTTTGCAGTGGTTCCGCTCCTATCTCAATGGCCGATTCCAAAAGGTGACGCTGGGGGACTATGGCTCTGTGCCATGGCAGCTATGCCATGGAGTACTGCAGGGATCCATTTTGTCCCCTTTGCTATTAACATCTACATGAAACCGCTGGGAGAGGTCATTAGGAGGTATGGGCTGTGGAATCATCAGTATGCTGATGATACCCAGCTCTACCTCTCGTTTTCTACCAGTCCAGGTGAGGCAGTGGCTGTACTGAACCGATGCCTGGCCGAGGTAATGGGCTGGATGAGGGCCAATAAACTGAAGATCAATCCAGACAAGACGGAGGTCCTGTTGGTTGTTGGATCGGGCTTCGGGGAAGGGGACCTTGACCTAGTCCTGAATGGGGTTGCATTCCCTCTTAGGGACAAGGTCCGCAGCTTGGGAGTGCTCTTCGACCCAGAGCTTTCACTGGAAGCTCAGGTGACAGCAGTGGCGAGGAGCGCTTTCTTTCAGCTTTGGCTGATCCATCAGCTGCATCCCTACCTGGAGAACGACTGCCTGGCAACAGTGACATACACGTTGGTGACTCCCCAACTTGACTTCTGTAACGCGCTCTACGTGGGGCTGCCCTTGAAGATGGTCCGGATACTTCAATTGGTTCAAAATAGAGCTGCCAGGCTGCTGACGGGGACTGGGCGTTATGTTCACATGACTCCAGTCCTCCGTCAGCTTCACTGGCTCCCTATTGAAGTCCGGGCCCAATTCAAGGTGTTGGTGATGACCTATAAAGCCCTAAACGGCTTGGGTCCTGGTTACCTGAAGGAGCGCTTACGTCCATATATGCCCGCCCGCCCCTTGAGATCAGCGGGAGAGGTCCTTCTCCGGGAACCCTCCGTGAAGGATATTAGGAGGGTAAGTACTTGGAGGAGGGCTTTCTCTGCGGTGGCGCCCAATCTATGGAATGCGCTCTCCAGCGAGGTCTGCCTGGCGCCGTCGCTATTTGTTTTTCGGTGCCAGGCAAAGACCTTTTTATTTAAACATCATTTTAATTGCTAATATTATTTATTTATTTTACTTCTTTGGCCAGGACGTCTCCAATTATATTGTTTTTATATTGTTATTATTTATTGTTGTGAGCCGCCCCGAGGCTTCGGTGAATGGGGCGGCATAGAAGCTTTCTAAATAAATAAATCTCAGAACTGGATGAGACAGCTGGCATTAAAAGCCCCATCCTATACCTACTGCATCTTAATCTGGCTGTAACATAAACTGAATGTACCAGTTTCGTGCCATTTTGTGTTCATGGAAGTGAGTTGTAATGTTGCTTCTAATGTCTTAAATGTGGATTTAATGTCTTCTGAAATGGCAAGAAAGGCAGGCACCAGGAGCAGGTGCAAATAGGGACTGATTGCATAGAATACCCAAGAGATACTAATATTGAGCCCCTTGTCCAAATGTGGACCATACAGGAGGAAGTTTTCAGCACTCTTGGAATAACTAGAGGACTTGCCGAGTAACGAACAATCTTTTGAAAGCAATTTAAAGTATGTGGATGCAGGTGCAAGCAAGCCTGCTGAGGGACAGCACGCTCATTGGCTATGGAATGCTTGCTGAGTATTGGAGGGGCTTTGGGATGAATCAAACAGATTGGCCAAGAAGATGGTATGGCCGACTGGCATCTTGGAAAGGAGTATTCCACAGTGTAATGTTCTGTTGCAGGGCCCACTTAGGTTAAGCATATGAGAAAGAATATGTCTTTTCCTTGGCACTGAAGACAAAACTGGTTCCCATCATCTAGACTGAAAGGAAGATGCTTCCAGAACAGATAGATACTGTGGGTGCACCTAATTTGAACAAACCAGGGTACAGTTTGAACTATGGATTGTAAACTCAGCCATGGGTTGTGTTGTGTGGATCCAGCCATACTAATACACCATGGGTTTATTAAGGCTGAACAACCTATGAATCTTGTGTTCTCAGTTCAACAACAACCCATATTCAACTCATATGCTATTTTGTCATGTTGCGAGAATCCAGCCACTGTGCATGTTCCCACATTTCTTGAACTCACACAGCAAGGAAAGTTGATCACGACCAATCTTTCCTAGGTTCCACACTTGATATCCTCAAGAATTTGAGTTTGTTTGGAAAGAACATCTTATTCAGTTGTGACATATTTACTTACTGTTTTCTGAAAAACTCCAGAGTAGTTGAGAACAATGTTCTTTCTTCCTTTAACATGTCAGCTCTTCTAGAGAAGCCTCTTAGTAAAAGGAGGGACAGTGAAGCTGTACAGAAGGCCAAGATACTTTATTCTTCATGTTTGAATGAAAGTAAGTTATACTTTTTTATTTTCAGTGTTGTGAACTGGCATCTGGATGTACGGTCAATGTTTTTTTTTTCCTATTCTTTTATAGCAGTAGGAAATTAAGCAGTCCTGAAATTAATCTTTGTTTCATGCATGTCAAAGTATGAAAAATATTGGCAAGCATACATATTTGGAGCTATTGCCATTATTATTCTGTTAGATTATGTCAGTGTGAAATAATTGGTTCTTTTCTAATGCAATCTTCTACTTAGGTTGCAAGCCTTTGGGCATTTGCCTTAAAATTAGCCCCACTGAACACAATGGGTCTTACTTCTGAGTTACTTATTCATGATGTCTTACCCTTCATATATGTGCAGTGAGCATTTCTTCTGATAGTGTATACGCCTTGGGGGTGTGATGGGTTACTATGAAAATAAATCTTTAACTATATTCCTATCTATTCAATTTATTATCTTGTAATAACTTGCTTCTCCCATGTCAACAGATAAAATAGAGAAGACCGATGCAAAACCACTTTTGAACATGCTAAAACATTCTCCATTCCGCTGGCCTGTGATGGAATCAAACCTTGGGCCTGAAGGACTGTGGTCAGAAAGGAAGTTCAGCATGCTCCAGACCTTGGCCACTCTTCGTGGCCAATATAGCAGTTCTGTTTTCATCCGAATGTATGTGGCTTCTGATGATAAGCTCTCTAATGAGCACATCATAAAGGTATGCTCAAGGAAGCTGTGAAAGTAGTTTAATGTTGTTATTGCTCACTAGAAACACCAACACTTAAGCCATCATACGCCTGAAGATGTGACTATGATGTGGGTCAGATGCATCTGCCTCACTGGAGATGGGTTTTAAACTCTAGACCAGGCATCTAAATGATTATGATTTAATTTAACATCAAATGGGATGTTTGTATGTAGCTGAAATAATGCTTTCCTTCCCTATCCTTTCAAGGAAGCAATTCGAGAATATCTAACTCATAATTAGCCACCCTCCAGCTAATTTTGTTGATAGTGGTAAAGGGCTGATAGTTCCTATGTTCAAAACATTACCATGGAATCTGGTTATTAGTATGTAAATATGCAAATTACTGAACATCAGGGCAATATATGTAACTATATTCCTTAGGGCACTCTAAACTCATTTCCAATTTAATTTACAGCAATCTGATTTACAGAAAGTGCATGACAATATTCTGCTCAGTTACTGAAGGATCAAATGATTCCCAGAAGTGCAATGAAACATTTACATCTTGGGGTGGTGGGGGTGGTGAGGAGTTTTATTTGGAAAAGTCTGAAACTATTCAGTGGTCCACCTAACTTGATTTTCTCAGGAAACTACAATGTTTAGATGTAAGCTTAATTTGCTGTCCAAAGGATGATTTTAAACCATGTTTTAATTCCTAGGTTCTGGTAAATACTATGTTAGAATTTTTTTAGTGCATCTTCTCTTTTTCTTGTTTTGGATCCAGACTTAATACTTATAATATACTCACCGAAATCAATGGACTTAGGACAGCATACTTGTTCCATTGATTTCAGTAGGTGTACGCTAAGCATAACCAAGGGCTGACTGGAGCATGCTGAGAGTTGTATGGTTTTTTTCCCCTGCCTAATCATGTATAGGATTATTGTTTACATCTACGTCCAGTCTCTAATGTTTCAGTACTGCATTGGAGACTCCAGAACCCTGTACATCAAGTACTCAGTATTCAGAAATACTGACACTGAGTTCAGGAGGACATTTTTGCAGGAAAGCGTGTATGGGATTGCAATCCAAGTAGAGTTGTGGGAAAATAATTGACATTAATTCTTGGTGTTTTATTATGTACATACTTTTAATAGCTAGATCAAGCATCTCTGTCTCTGTCAGCACGGGAAGACTACCTAGAGAACACTACAGAAGCAAAATCTGTGAGTATATTTCACTTAGGGCTAGTCCTGTTGCGATGCCATGAGCCCCTAAGCTCAGAGGATTTCATGGGAGGTTCAAAAATCTGATCCCCAGCTCCAAGATCAGAGTTTCTGCTGTCTCTGACCTTGGATCTCTGAATGAGAAAACTCCCATGAACCCTTTGAGAGTGTCTAGGGACCACGGGATTAAACTACCCACGTAGAAAGCATTTTCCTCATTTAGGATTTCTTCCTCAGTGCTACGATATTGACCAATGACTTGTTTACTTATGAGATTCCTGGCCAAAGTTTGGAACCTCCTGATCCACCCTTGTAGTGAAAGCTTTCCAGTATTGACTCATGAGTAGAGAGCCTTCAGCTTAGGAACCAAATCAAGTGCTTCATACGCATTCCCTTCAGTCTTTCCTTAAAAGACTGAGCGGTTTCTCCTAAGGTTTAGTTACTGGCAGGAAGAGGGTGAATCTAAAATATACAGGCATTGTTTGCATTTTGTGTCTTGCCTTTGTCCTTACCTATCACTGAATTTTTTTCCTTGAAAGTGTCTCTGAAATGAAATCTGCCCCTTGGATTGATTGAGGTTCTGCGTTCCTGACCTAGTCACCATTATATTTTATACCTCATATTTTTGTTAAAAATAGTACTATTTCACCCTTGTCCACCACCCACAACCCACTCATGTATGTTTAATGTAAACTGTGCTAGTGTGAATGAGGTTGCACATGCATAAGTGAACTGTATAATGTTAATGTACTGTGTTTCCCTGGAAAACACATCAGGCAGGTGTATGTGATTAGTGCTGTGCTAGAGTTCACTGACAGTGGTGAAATGTAACTTAGGTTAGTCCTAGTATTAGGAATTATTTCCTGATAGAAATTCAGGAAAACAGTACAGGAATGCACTAAACAAACTTATCTGTTCCCATCAGACATGCCTCGTTTGGCTTTAATCACAACTATATTGAGCTGGATGGGGACAAGGAATTCCATGCAACTGCCTAAGGTAGTTGCAGAGGGTAGATGAGTCCTCATTCCCACTGCCTGATAGGAGGAATATATAGGAGGAATAGGGATTTAAATATATGTTGTGGATAGTCCACATTACCTAATATGGAGCAGAGTTAGAAGAGTATATGCCATTTATGGGCCATTTATTTGATATGTACCCCACCTTTCTACCAATAACGTGGTGGAAGTGGCTTACAATCATAGAAAAAACTTGATTAAAACAAAACAACCCAGATACATTAAATCACAATTAAATTCCTCTTAAACTGTTCAGTACAGAATAGCTCTAACAATGCTTGTATTCTTCTTGTGCGATACAGTACAGAGACACCCTGTTCCAGTTCATGGTTGACACAGCTGTGCTTTTGGGTGCCAATGCTTCACGTGCAGAGTTGGACATGAAGTCTGTACTTAAGCTGGAAGTCAAAATAGCTGAGGTTGGTGCTCCTCTAACTATGGAATTTCAGCTGGATTTGTGGCAATTGGTGCTTCTGAAGGAATGGGCATGGCTTTGCTTTTAAAACATAACTGTATAGCATTGTTTCTCTCCAGAGTCCTGGTGCAATGGCACATGCCAGTAGGCATTCTTAACTGGCTGGCTGCTGTTTAATGGCACTTGTGCTTCTGCTGTTCCCTCTCCTTTCTTCTTGGGGAGAAAATATGAAATTTCATGCTTCTCCTGAATCTCCTTGTCTCCTGACAAGAGATTATGAACCACTTGTGAACTTTGTTAAATTTTGTGAGGTAAACTCCCCACTTGTCTTGGTTTTCTCTGGCTCTGCTTTCATTGTTTATATGCACGGGTTACCTTTAATCAAATGTTTTATTTTAGTTTTTTCTTTGCGCCTTTGTATTATGTTGTTGACAGCATTGTGGTATGGTGAGTTTTTGAAACTGAAAGTTAAAGTGAACATAGCTTTAAAGAAATATAGCCTAGCCTACATTCAAGAACTTCAGGGACTCTCGCCTCAGGGACATAGTACAATGTCAGGGACAGTGCAGTCCTCATGAAATTTCCTTGTAGGAATCTTCCTATTGATTCCTGATCCAGGGCAAAGAACTGGAACAGAACTCCAATGCTAGCATTTAATGCAAACTTTAGAACCACCATAAAGACTTTAGTAAAGAGTATCAGCTAGTCCATGATTTGGAATATATACCTCAGAATATAATGGCATTTCTTGTCTTGTATCAGGCTCACTAGAAATATTCTTGTAACCCATTAGAATATATATGTATATATGTTGCTTCGGCAATACGGCAGCACCTATGACAAACAGTCACTTTGGTCTGAGCAATTTTAGTCTGCAGCAAGCATCCATTATATTACCAATAGAACACACCATCACTGTAATCGACATATGCCAGTTCTTATTAACAGATGCGGTGACTTGGCACTCACAAACAAGATGCTTCAAGGAATGGAGGGCTGCCAGAGGGAACTGACACATCACTCTATTTCTGTTTTGAGTCATGTGCTCATTCACAACTATTCTGTCCTATCTTGATGTAAATATACATTTGCAGTGTTTAAAATGCATTTCCTACAAAATGCATGCATTTTATCCATATTCACTTTCTATAAATTTTATCCTGAAATATTTTCCCTCTAGCACAGGTTAAAACCCCGATAAGCATTACTATATGCATGTTTGTACTTTATTTGTCCAAGAGATGTACTGCAGAATAGTTTGAAGTAGCACAAAATGCAAAAGATAATCCTGTTATATTTCATATATTTATCTGGGAAGAGCAAAGTGGATTGAAGTGACGGGGACTCCAATATGGAAGGCTTTAAAAGGGACTTGGACAGATTCATGAAGGAGGGAGGAGACTGTCTGTGGCTACTAACCTTGCTGACTGTGTGCTACTTCCTTTACCAGAAGTGGCATGCCTGCATACACCAGTTGCTGAGGAGCTTGGGAAGGTGGAGGTCTTGCACCCATCCTGCCTGACGATCTTCTGGCAAACTGGTTTGCCACTGTGTGTATGGAGTATTGGAATTTTGGCATGGCTTTTGCTGTGTTCTTCACTTAAAAAAGCAAACTGAATAAAATTCCTGAGCAGTCTAGCTGCCAATGGTAATGATTGAGCAAGCCAAGGGCACAGTTGCTTCTTAAAGTCGTGTTTTATTTATTCATTTATTTATTACATTTCTGTATTACCCAGCAGATGGAACTCTCTGGCTTGTTCACAACCATTTAAAACCATAAAATACAGCACGCAGCAGTACAAAATTGAAATGTTTAAAACTGCAATATAAAATAAAAGTAAAAACCAGAGTAAGTTCTAGCAGCAGTAAAGGACCTAATCCAGAAACTGACTAAAATTCCTGAAAAATAAGACGATCTTCACCTGGTGTTAGAAAGAGTGCCAGTAGGTACCAGGTAAGCTTCTGTGAGAAGATCATTCCATCACTGGGGTACCACAACAGCAAAGTTCTCTTCTTAGTAGCCACCCTCCTAACTTACTTTGGCAGGGGTTCCCACAGGGCAGCTGAGGATGATCTTAGGGCCTGGGCAGGTATAAAGGAAAGGAAATGATCTTTCAGGGAACCTGGCCCAAAACTGTTTCATGCAGGATCCAGGACCATCCCCAATCAATGAAGCTGGCACTTTAGGGAAAGTGTAACCCCCTCCAGAACAGGTTGAATACCACTCAGAGAGGTAGGTGAGCATCCATCAAAAGCATCTCTGCCTTGTCTGAACTGAATCTCAGTTAATTGACCTCCTCCTTTTTATTACTGTGCCCAGACACTGATTCAGAAAAGCCACTGCCTCTCCTGGATTTGATAAAAAAGAGAGAACAAGAGCTGAGTGCCATCTGCATATCAATTACTCCTCAGCTGATACCTCAGGATAGCCTCCACTAGTGGTTTAATATAGCTGGTGAATAGCATGAAATATAACACTGAGCCTTGTAGTAGAACTGCTAAGGTACAGAACAATAACCCCCAGCACCAGCTTCCAAAAAATACCTTGTTTGTTGGTACTGAGAGCTCTGAGAGGTCCAGAAGAATCAACAGAGCCTCCTGACAAAGGTTGCCCGACAATTGACCAGATGGGAAGTTTCTGTTTCAAATCTCGGTTTGACACCCGATTGAAAGAGAGCTAGATACATTTTATACAAGAGTGCCTAATGTTGACTAGCAAACACTCACTCAGACACCTTGCTCAACAAGAGAATGTAGGCTATGGACTTGTAGTTATCATCATGTGAGTCCAGGCTAGTGCTTTTTTAAAGAAGTGGTCTAATTATATCTCCTTTAAAAAGTCTGGTACCACATATATGAAGGAGTAGTTTATGATATCCTGGGCCCAGTCTGATATTTGTTTCAATTTTATGTAATAAGCCATGAAGGCCAAGGGTGAAATAGACAGGTCATCAACTGGGTACAGCCAAACACTTTACCTTGTCCACATTTCTAGGCCTCAACTACCAAAACTTATCCAAAGAAGCTGAACCAGTAGGTGCTCTGTACAACTCTGTTAACGAAACTGCATTAATTGTGCTAATAATTGTGCTATCTGAGCTATCATGACTGATCTGATCTGAGTGATTTTATCTTCAAAATGCTGCACAAGTCTGTCAAACTTGTGTCCCACTATTTCTTTCTGTAGTTCAGATTGTAGGAGGCTCTGAACCACCCAAACTACCCTTCTGGATAACAGCAGAAGGATGCAGTTAAAACAAACTTACCACCCTTTCCACCAGAGAATAGACTTGATAATGAGCTTTAACCTGTGTTTGGTCAGATTCATCATGAGTTTTCCTACTCTTGTGTCCTAGTCATTTTATTTCATTGCACTCAGCACAGGTGTTTTCCAAGATGTTGACCAAGGAAGAGGGCACTTGGGTGTGATTGTGTCTACTATCTGAGTCATCTCTGCATTCCATCAAGTTTCATTTCCCGCAAGTTCTGGCTTACCATTAAACTTACAGATTAGCTAGTTTCTAAATGAGACCCCACTCCAAATGCTCAGGAGTACATAGTGAACCATTAGACTGGAATGCTTATGCATTAGTCATACATATATAACTTTCATGAGTTAAAATCCAAAGATAGAATGCCTGAAGGTGAACAGATAATCCCCCTCATCAACAGGTTCAGCATTACTCACCTAAGATGTTGGGAAAAAAGTCACACCATTGTTAATTTGATAAGAGGGAGTGGCTGGAAGCAGCAAAGCCGAAGTGGGGAGGGTACCATTTTGTATTACTCTTTTGCCAACTCCTTTAATTTCTTTCCTTCTTCCTTGCCAAGCTGTTTGCCAGGCTAGGAATGCATAGTTCTGAGGTTTGGAAACGAGGGCCAAACCCAGTATTCATGGAGAGGAAAAAAAATCAAAGCATGTTTATCGATGAAAGCTGTAGTAAATATTTGCTAATGGACACAGTAAAACCACAATGAATTTTAGACTTTCTTGATATCTGCAGGTCACTTATTGCTGTGTATGGCTTGTGCTCCTCTGACAAGGAAACATTCATGGGTTTGTGGGCATAAACAAAGTCCAAATGAAACTAAAGACAGTGAAAATAATAACATTTGCATTTCTGTTTTGCAGATAATGATTCCACATGAAAATCGAACCAGTGAATCTATGTACAACAAAATGAATATATCTGAACTTAGCACCATGATTCCACAGGTTGGTTAAAGTTAATTGGAAAATGAATGTATTAATGCCTGATTGGCCTGTGTAATTACATTTTCAATCTGGAAGGTACTTCACATGTACCTAAAATGGTAATCTAAATAAAATTAGTAGAAACAGGTGCTCACTATTAATATTTAAATACTGCTGCTTTTTATTTACGTTGCAAGGTATTTGGGATGCTGTGCAGGGAAGTTCAACTTTGAAATTAGGCAAAACTTTTGAACTAATAGGTATTTTAAATCTGTAAAGAGCCCAGAGTTGAGCCAATCTTTATTCTTTTAGTTTGACTGGCTGGCATACATCAAGAAGGTGATTGACACCAAGGTCTATCCTGAACTGAAAGACATAGATGCTTCAGAGAATGTGGTTGTCCGGGTGCCCCAGTACTTCAAAGATTTATTCAGGATACTGGAGAGTGAAAGGAAAAAGTAAGGCTTTTTTAATGTGTAGTGGTCTTCTCATAACTCATCCCTGGATTCTTGGTTTCATGTTTAGGTTCTCAGTCCACCCTGAGGAGGGAAAGAATTCACAGAACTTGGGCTTCCAACTGCAAGACTATTATTTCACTTCTGGCTTTCTGTGCAAATAAAGCTGCATAAATAGTGTGTATGAGGGAATTCATTGTGGCATAGCAATCAGCCACGAAGTTTACTGGGTGACTTTGGGCCAATCACTGATTTAGGTGTTTAACCCAGCTAATCAGAGGACTGATATGAAGATAAAATGGACAGAGGGAGAAAGCTTATGTAAGCCATCCTGTGTTCCTTGCAGGAGAAAAGTTAGGATAAAAAGATGATGGATGGATGGATGGATGGATGAATGGTGAAATGGGTGTCTGCTTTCATCCCTGTGTGGCAACTTCTTTTCTTGGCAAGTTGTTTATTGTTTGAAACTGAATAGTAGTTTTACCACAACCTTGAAAAAAGGGGACCCAAGGGCTATAAGCCAGTTATATGCCTGGCACAGGTAGAAATGCCCAGCTGTTCATGCCAACAGCCTATTTTCCATCCTCTCCACTCCCTGTTTGCACAGATCCAAATGCACATCTGGATTGCCTGAGTGAATGCAGAAGAACAAGAAAAGCATGCATCACACCAAAGGAAGAAGCAATGTTTATTAAAAAGGAGATCAAAATGTCCAAGAAGGGCAGGAAAAGACACTTGAAAAGAAAAGTGAAAACCAAAAGGGGAACTTGGTATCCCAGACTCATGGAGGGGTCACAGGATCTTGCTATGCTCATGACATGCTTGGGTGGAAGAGGCACCAAGAAATCTAGGGGACAACATGCCCAGTTGACAGGGAGTCCCACTGACAAAGGAACAAAAGGAACAGCTCCATTCCACTTATTCGGCTTGGCCAGAGCAGAGAGGCAAGAGTGCTGCTCAGCTTAGTTCCCCAATCAGGTGCATGGCATGCTGGCAAGAAAATGTGTGTTCTCACTTTTTGTGCAGGAAGATGAATCTAGAAAGATGATGGTTAAAAACGGGATTCTTTGCCCAGCTCAAAAAGGCTTCCTTAAGGGCACAGGAAGGACAACCTTGCCTGCCAGAAGTCTTAGAGCATTTAGAAAAAGTAACGATTTTAGAAAAACAGATATTGTGGTTGCAGAGCCTTCCCTTGCTTGGGAAATTGTGGAGATCACCACAAGGATTGTCTTATGGCTGAGGAAGCCTTTGGTGTTAACTGCATCATGTTGACTTGCTGTTATGCAACTACAAATCCTCTTAGTTTCAAGAGCTTTGCAGAGTTGAATTATAGTGAAATCAAAGGGCATTCCTGTGAGCTTTCAGTAACAATAATAACAAGAATAGGATCTGTGGGTTTGGCAGAAGGGGCCCATTCGTTTGGAAGAAGCAAGTGTCTTCTGCAGGACCCCGTGATGATATGGCAAATGCTATGGACTTGAGCAAAGACTACTATAGATTAGTCTAATAGATTCAGGTTAGTCTTCTGTGCTATTCAGCAGACAGATGAGGGAGAAATAAGGGCAGAACTGACAAGAGGTGAAAAATTAAAACAAACTGCTACGTGATCCAACAAGGGACAAAGGATCCTCATTAGATCTCAGATTCTCCTTTTCTATTTCTTTTGCTGTCTTTGCCTTTCCTTGCTTCCTCATTGCATTATCCTCTCAGTTTGCCACAGATAAAAGTTGGTATAGTTATGATTTTTTTGCCTATTCATGAACACTTTGAAGATACATTTGCCCTCTGCTGAATCATACCACTTGGCATTACTCCTAAGCCATCTGGAACAATGTGTTCTGCAGGGATCTTAAAGGAATGAATCGGTTCCCTGCCCGAGATCTGGATTTTGTAGGAAGTTTTCAGGGAAGGAGGGAGCTGGGAGGTTAAGAACTCTCCTTCCTTCCTCCAGAGCATTGGTTTGAGATGGCCTTTCAGCTCATTTCAACTTTAATTCAACAATGGAAGGGAAGCCACATAAATATAAACTGTGTTAAACTAGATATAGCTAGAAGAAATTCAAAGGTATGATTAAGATTCCATGAAGTTATGTGACAGGCAGAGTCAAGTGGGTAGATTCTGGCCAAATTGTGTCACAGTTTGAAAAAGGAACTTGAAAAATAACACAGGGACCTCAAATAGGAAGGTGCCCTATCACAGAGCCAGGAAGGACCAAGAGTCTTCTAGGACTAAAGAGTTTGGTACTTGTCCAGAGTATTGTCCTAGGACTGCACTACTTCAGAATTCACATGGGGAATCTCATCTTTGAATGTTCACTGGTCCCATAAACTGGCTATACCATCTCCACAACTAGTATGCCAGGGAGGAGGCTGTGCATAACCTTCTCATATAGGGCTTCTCTCTCAGCACTTCTTTACTGAGGCTTTCTTCCTGTTTTTTCTATGGGAAGTTTTTCTCCCTGGGTTTGTATTTGTCTGCTTTCTATTTATTCAGTTAACCAAGCACAAGGTGGTGTTACTCCTCTTGAGATGGGGTGTAGGAGTCGGGTGATCAGAGCTTAGCTTCTGCATACATGCCTACTGCGTACAGTACACACATCATCGGCGTGGTGTGCTGCACTCAGCAGTGCCTTGTGTCCCAGTGAATATTGCATAAAATTTAATGCTATTCAGACTCATGGAAGCCACTTCAGCACATGGGCGTGTCACCACAGAAATCATTCTGGGTCTTGCATCTAGGTCTCCTCCTGCTCTGAGCAGGGTGCTTCACCTCGATGCATGGCTGAGCTTGCCATGAGTAAGGTTTATTTAGATTGTACTTACACACAAAACCACACGATCCTAGACCAACCAAGAGCCATGACCATTTATGAAGAGTATGGCCCTTTCTCGTTCCAGAAGACGCCATCTGCTTTGCTTCGGTTTTATTGTTCTTTCTGCCTTTTATTTTACAAGGACTTGGACAAACCTCTAATGCCAGATTTCATCTCAGGATACAAAATTATTGAAATATGCTCTAACTGGAGGATCCCATCATTTAGTCACGCATCAAGTGGCTGTTATCATGCAATCTCTTCTGTCTAATGGGTTTTTGTCAGTTTGGTCATTGCTCATTAGTTTTCAAGGTGAAGTTGCTACTATTGCAGGCAGTTCACTGATCTGAAAAAAAATCTATTCATGTATTAATTTATAGTATCAGACAGCTGTGCATAAGGACACATGGGTCTAACTGCCTGACATAAAGATGTGTCTGCTTTGACAGGACTATTGCCAACTATCTGGTGTGGAGAATGGTGTATTCAAGAATATTTAACCTCAGCCGACGTTTTCAATATAGGTGGTTGGAGTTTTCAAGGGTAAGTTTATTTTGCTATCAATATGTCCTCTGTGCCTATAGAACCATTGGCAGCAGTTGATACCCAGATCTGATAAATCACTAGAATACCATCCAGAAAACTTGTATTAGAAAGCTGGAGAATGACCTTGTTCTAGTCTCTCCATGAGACTAGCCATGAGGACCTATATCCTGACACAGATTTGAATGGTGCCACATTTCTGCCTGCAGGATATTAACACATGACCCTTGTAAACCCAAACCTTGCTGCCTCTTTCCCTGCACCCATTCCAGCATTTCGCTCCTGTGAAGCTGCAAATTTCATTCTCTAGCAGCTGCTACATGGAGCAGAGAGAAAAGATGACCTCAGTGTCTGGACCTGGCCGTGAACTGTGTAGGTTTTCTTTTCTTCCTCTCTTTTTTTTACATGAGGCTTCTAACCCACCACTTTTTGCTCGCAGACTCTTTGTAGGATTTACATGTGGCTTTACTTGCCCCACTCTCTGCCTTCCTATGGCTGTATTTGCATGTCATATGAATAACCTATGGCAAGTTGGTTGTTCGTAACACAATTCACAGTATGCCTATCTGTGTGTTGCGCCCAACTGCATCTGCTCCACAGTTCCTCCAGCTGATATCCTGGAGTCTTGGTGCTTGAAGCTGCCTTTCCTCCTCTCCCTGTTACAATCAGGAGTCCTTTTTTCATTTGCCATGGCCTCTGCCCGCCATTTTGGACATTGCTTAGAAGCAGAATTCCTCCCATGCCCCACATACACATTCTGAAATAGTTGCAAAACATGGGACAACCCTTGAAGAATGATAACATCATGGAAACTACCTGGAATGAGGAAACATTGTCTCATGTAGAAAGGTTCTCGAAATGGACATGGGGATATTATCAGTATTCCTATTCTATTCTATTTTGACCCCAGAATCTGAAATTTTTGAAACATCTTCAGATGTGTTGCTAGGCTAAACTATACATCCTGAAGGAAATTTGTGATCCAGTTATTGGCATTTTTAAAGATAATAGCAGCAATATAAGGGTGAGCATTGGTTCAGAACAACAACATTGAGTAAGTGATTAATACTTTTCCTGTGACAGTCTTCCAGCTGAAATTCCTCTGCCCCAAGCGACATTCTGCCCCGTGAAGGAAAAACACCAGTGCCTGTATAAGCAGGCAGCAGCTTTGACAAGGACTTGGTCAAGTCTTGTCTCACAGTGATGTGCCCTTGATCTGCCATGCACTGCACCACAGCTGCTTTTAACTTTTATAAATACAGTCTGATTGGAAATATTTTGTCATCTCAGCTAGTTTTTCATCAGAAAATGCTAAAAGTAAACATTTCCCTTAGGAGGTTTCTTCAAATGTGTTAGTGGCTGAGGGCATTATCATCACATGTTGGAAGTTTGGTGCACAAAATGCAGGAATGAGGGCATTTATTACACTCAGTTACACTCATGTGCTATATAGCAAGCAACTGCCCAAGATATTTTGCTGCTCCGGGGAAAGGACAAAGATGGCACATCCTCCAACCCCTTTCCACGGACAGAAGCAAACGAGACGGGCCGTTTGCTCCGACCTGGGTGGACAGTGCAGTGTCTGCCGGACACCGAGCTTAGCAGGCCAGCTGCAGAACATGCTGGTGCTGCTGCCTGCCCACAGAAGGGAGTGGCAGGGGACGTGGCGCTGATGTGCCTCAGCTTTGGCCGTCTGAGGCTGTGTCTCACTCAGTCATGGCTAAGTCTGATTAAGCCTTGCAACTAACATACACTATTGCTTTCAACGAGACCTAAGGCTCATTGAAAGTAGTTGAACAAGGGACACTTTCATTTGCTATTCTTGTGTCTGCAATATTCATGTCTTCAGAGCGTGTGTGAAGAATGTCCCATTTGTACATCAAAAAGTAGGTATGGTTGAAGTAATTGTTCATTCCACCAATCTGTTTTATTTTCCCATACTTCTTTGTTTCAAGCTCTTTTCTCCTAGCTTAGCTCCAATATTAGCTGAACTAGCATGGCAGAAAACTGCCTTATGGTTGGAGCATTCATTCTCTTTCATGTGAGCAGCTTTTGCTGTAAAATGTACACCTTAACCACTTCTCTGTGCTTGAGATGTACAGAGGACACAGAAGCAGATATACCCTCCCTCAGTGTGTTTCATTTGGCCATTAGTCACAACTAATCAACACCAATAATTTCCTACTGCATGTCTTTCTTACTGACATTCATGCATTATGCAAAGTTGAACAGAAGGCCAGTTTCTGGCAGTCCAGCAGGTTGCTGAGATATTTTTATTTTGGCCAAGAATGGTGGGCCTTCAGCTGGTCCTGCCAGTCCTTTCTTAGTCTTTCAGCAAATAAGAATAGTCAACATAATTAAAAACAGATTAACTGTTAATGCCTTAGCTGTACAATCTTGAGCATGAAGTCTTGCCTGTAATTTGGAGACATATTGGTAGAACACAGGGATTCTAAATGTAAAACAGAAAACATCCCACCAATTAATGTGTGAGGTTGCTCTTATAGTATTATGGAGCCAACAGCTTTCCTGGATCTCAGAACTTCCGTCAAAGTATTGCCCAGGCTCAGTCTTGCTCTACTGGAGAAATGGAGCTATAGCAATCACCACCCCAAATATGTGATCCAGTCCTGATTTGATCTGTAAATTATTGTTATTGTCTTAGAAATGGAAAGTTAGACCAAATAACTTACAACTGTTAGACTGACATGCTATATTATGTTGGAAAGTAATTGCTGGGTAGTGATGGTTAGTTCAGAAATTATTTTGCATTTACAGTTTTGATATCAATGGGAGCTGTTAGTCTGAGTGGTAGACACAGGGAAAGAGTGACTGCATCAGTAAGAGTCGTTATGCTTAGCAGTGACAGTGGTCTGATTTTGCAGATTGTGCCCTGAGTACACAGTTTTTCTTCCCAAAGGAAACGTGTGATTTATCAGTCTTAAATCAAAACAGGTAATCCAAGGGACGACTTCCTTACTGCCTCAATGGGATAAGTGTGTGAACTTTGTGGAAAGTGCTCTTCCTTATGTTGTTGGCAGAATGTTTGTAGATCTACACTTCCAAGAAGACAAGAGGGAAATGGTAGGTTCTCACTTGTTTCGCTGACTTTGAAATTTGTTTGCTTCTCCCACAGTGGTGCTATGGTAAATGTTGAAGTTTGGGTGGTCACCATGAAAACCCCACAGACAAGCCAAAAGGAGAGTGCAAAATGCATGCCTTTGCATTGTCCATGTCTACAAAGCAGTTCTAGCACTTTTTATCTTCACCAGGAGAGGTCTGTCTGCAAAGTGAATGGGTCTTAATTGTCCTTCAAAGACCAAGCTGCCCTCAAATACTTTACATTACAACAAGGAAGACTATATTGTCACTGGAAAGGTTGTTTCTCCCATCTGCTGTGAGGATTGCAGCTAAGTTCAGAGGGACCAGAGAATGGCAGTTGACATCAGCATCACCGCTAGCAAAAAAAAGCAGGTGGAGGGGAGTTTTTCCACAATATATAACCATCATGGAAGGATGCTTTGATTAGTCCCAAGAAAGTGCAAGATGAGCAACCATGATTCTGCAGAGCCTACTTTAGAGGAGAATCTTGACTCCTGCAGCAAATTGCATATTATACCAACATGGAATCATCTGTGACAAGATCAGGATTTTAATAGGCATTCATTGTCCAGTAGGAGTGCCAGCTAATCTGTCAATGGAAGCTAGACAGAAGTCACTAGACAGAAGGAGAATCCAATATCTACAAGCTAGGGGACAGATTCAAAGACACTTGAGAGAAAGAGGCAGTCTGAAGAACAGAGCTGACTCACCACTTAGGGTGAGTCAGCTCACCCTAACATCTGGGAGTAGCTAGATGTGATCAATCTGCTGATTTCAGGGAAAATGGGACAGGGGCCAATTCCCCATTAAAAAGCAGTGCAGAAAAATGCAGCATGGATGGTCAGGAGCAGAAAGCTGGACCCTTCCCACTGACCTTTCCCCAACTGAAATGCCTTTAAAAAACCCAAACTTTCCTTGCTAAAGGGATTGGTGGCAAGTTTTGGACCTCCTTTGGGACAAGTTGGCTTAAAATGTTTGGAGGGAGGTTGGGAGGGGAAAGGGGCAGAATGAAATTGGTGTGAAGTAGGCTTCAGTTCCTCCCTTTTATAAGGATCTGAGAAGAGATCAATTCTGCACATGGTTTGCCACTACAGCATTTAGTCTGGTCTTATGGATCCAGAGGTGACAGCCGATTCTCTCTTTTGCACAGATGTACAGGACTTGAAGTGACCAGGGCTTGAACTGAATCAGGACCACTGCACATGGACTGGGGAGGCTTACATTCCTACCCAGCTTGTTTTGCAAAATCCAACCCTTTCTTGTGGGAGAAATAAAAAAAGATCTCCATTAGCAAAATGGATTTCCCTCTTGCCATTAAAAACCTCCAGGAGGAAGTGAAGAGGTGGATATTTTGGCAAATTGATAGCCAGGAGGATGACGTTCAAACCTTCCCAATGCATGCACAGTGGTCCCAAAGGAGGCACCCTTAATGCCAGAGAGGATGCTGGACAGTCACTGGTGCTACCAGTCATCCAGTTGAAAAAGACAGGAAAAAGCAAAGTAGAAAACTCAACCAATTTTTGGAACACTTCTGCCCCTTTTTTTGGTCTCCAAAAGCTGAGTTTTCATAGTCTATTCACAGAGAAACATAACATAAGAGTAGCAAATATATGGGATACTTCTTTCTCCTCATTGAAAAAGAAGTTATATGATCATAGCTAGCACATTACACTGCTAGGGAAAAAGACTATTTGCCTGAGTGGTGCATTTCTATATATCAGCTTTTATTTTTATATACCAGTTTCTTCTGCATTTGCAGCACTGACTGTCAGATCATTGTCTCCTTTAATTTGGTATCGTCTATTTGGCCTGGCAGTGGTTCTTGTGAACTTGACTCCTTTAACAGGAAATAACAGGAAATAACTAAATCTAGGAATGATATATACCCAAAACTTGTGCTTTGCTACTATCCCTCCCTTATAGAACTTCAGTTTATCGCATTTCATATTTGGGTCTATTTTTCAGAATGGGTTAGAAAAATACCATGAATGACAGAAATGCTACTCTCCCCACAATGATGTCCTCCAGATGTTTTGAACTGAAGCTCCCATTGTCCCTGACCATTGACAATGCTGTCCAGGTCTAAAGGGAGTTGTAGTGCAAAACATCTGGAAGGCATCATGTTGCAAAAGGCCTTTAAATGTTTAACTAATTTCCTGATTTAATCTGTATCAAATTCCACCAAGACTTTTTTGGGGTAAACATGGATGGGGACTGGTTTGTAAATGAATTGCCAGATTGCTTACCCATTTTATAAGATGGCATTTTCATTTTAGCTTGTCTTTTCTTTTCAACATATGTTTCAGCTACATAGACATTTATCTAGAGGAAGGTCCTTGCTAAAGAAACAATGAATTATGGGAAGTATGGTATTTTCAGATTTAGTCACTGATGAGCTCATGCCCTGGATGTCTACTTGCCTCCCTCCTTTTATCAAAGAGATATTATTTGGGTCTAAATATAGCACTGTTTTTGACCTGCAGTCAAGGCAGCATTTCATATGGCTACGCCTGAACAATTTTGATAACAACTCTGGTGGTATGAATAGATTTCTCTTCCCACCCCTACTGCTACAGCTGGTGCATAAAAACCAGAATATACACCAGGGTCCAATTGTAGAGCTAGAATATGAACTGGCAACCTCTAAGTACAGGGAGTTCACCTCATTAGTGCACTAAGTTAATTGAAACAGTGCTCTGCCATCAATATTCTCCAAGTTACCTTATTCCCTGGGATGCAGTTTACTCCTGACTGTTGAATGCTTGGTCATTCTTAATGCTAAATTTATACTGACTTCCATATTGTACCAAAACGATGTGATATTAAAAGGACAGTAATGAATCATAGATATGAGATGCTACAATTCCCCTCGGTCATTTAGATAAGGACATTCGTTTTCAACTTAGGTCAATATCAAAACTCTCATTCAGGTAGATGATTCATCTGCCCCTTATTCCATAGTTACGGATCTGAATATTCTTTCCTAGACCTTTTTGCACATTTTAATTGACCACCGGGGTGCAATCTGTTAGCAGTAGACTGCGCAATTCTCCTTTGAACTGTGCACGTGTGTTTTTCAAACATTTTTCAACTCTTCTATCAATCCTAGACAGAGATTACAGGTTTTCTAACAGGTTCCTCCAGTTCTTTGTTGATCTGGGTATTTAAAGACTTTCTTTAATCAAAACAAATTAAGACAGCAAACCATGAAGGCTGATTTTGACTGCTGAGTTTGACCTACAAGCCTTAAATGTCTTGTAGCGCGAGTGCCTGAAGGAACACTTCCTCCTGTACCAGTCTGCCAGTGGTATCAGATCTGGAGGAGGGGAAGAAACCTGTCTTGCTGTCCTAACATTAGAAAGGAGTACACTGGTACAAGATAGGGGCTATTTCACAGTAGTGCCTGACTTGGAATGCCCTTCACAGGTGTGTCCTGGTGCCAATGTTGGCATCTGTCTAAGACCCATTCCTTTTCCTGGGCATTCATAATTCATTACTACGTTGTATATATAATTACTACATTGTTACTAGTTAGTTACTACATTGTTACTACATTGTATATTTAATCATTTATTGTATTGCTGCTTTGTTGTTGTTGATGATGATAAATGCAGCAATCTCCTGTCTTTTTACCTCTTGCAAGGAACTCAAGGTAGCTTACACAGTCCTTCTTGGCCTTTGTCGTTTTATCCTCACGTCAACACTGTCAGGTGGGTTAGACTGAGAGTCAGTGAGTGGCCCAAAGTCTCCCCATGAGCTCCATTGCTGAGTGTGGGCTCAGAGTTCCTGAGTCCAAGTCCAATGTTCTAAGTCCATGTTCTAAGCACTATAGTTGTTACCCAACAGGGTTTCTTCTAAAGGAAGCACAAGATAGAAGTAGGATGAGATATACAAACAGAATATAAAACAAAACAATTAAATGGTAAAAGGCAGTAAAAATCCCCATAAAACAAACTTACTATTTATTTGGAATCTTTGCATGCCGTCCCATTCGCATAAGCCTCGGGATGGCTTCCAACATCATACTAGCTTCAAAATGCTTAGGAAAACAGAAATGTTCTCAACTGATGCTGAAATCATTGCAAGGTTAGTGCAAGGCATACCTCCCTGATGATGATATAAACATGGTCCCACATAGCAAATTCCAATACACACCCGTCCCTATCTTGGCTGCCCACAACACAGACACATCTGCCTCCGCATGCAAACTTCCTTCACTGGACTGGGCTGAAAGCACCGCACATCTATTAAATTCTTATGGGGAATAATGTTTGTTGCAGATGACAGAGCTGACTGAAGGGATTCGTTGGGCCTTCATGGATATGCTGGAAAAAGAAAACACCTGGATGGATCAGGAAACCAAACACAAAGCGACTGACAAGGTAAATGCATATCAATACATGTAAGTTTCAGACAATTGGATCAGTGATCTGAAAAATATGATGTGCTTCTATTTTTGCCACAAAAAGCTGTGAATATCTGCATTCTGCATTTAGTCTCAGTGGCTTGGGAAATCCCACTCCAAAATGACATCTATAACTATATGTTTTCTATGCTCTCTGATAAATCCCATTGTGATTGAAAGGAACGTCACCTCCACAAGGATTAAGAACAATCCACTAGTCCAGTCAGCTTGTGCAGACAGAACAAAGGATGTATTGTCTTGATCCTCACTTTGGACAGCAACGTGTCTTGAGCTGGCCCTGTTCTTTTCTATGAGGCAGCATTTAAGCATGTACTCTTCCAAAAGCAGTCCAGGAAGAACATGTGCTCTGTGCCCTGATCCCTTCTGAACTGTAATGTTTTAATTACATTGCATGACATTTTAAAAGGACAGCTATGTGGCTTGTTCACAGATACCCGAGGATTCTTGAAACTGTCTATTTTAATATGTTAACATTGTCCATTTTAAGTTCTCAGGGAAAACTCATCCAAATGTCAAGCATCACATAGAATAACACTTTTTTAAAAAACTCATACACAGAGGCAGAGAGAAAGAAATGGCCTTTTCACCTTATTTGTGGAGGTGATTGGGCAGCATCTTATTGAAAAATGCGCTTTGTGAGGGGACTGGTATGGAGGCTGCAGCACAATTCTGTGCTCAGATGAAAACAGGCAGAATTTGATTTCTTTTTCTCTTCAAAAAGTAGACTTTAAAGTTTCTTGATGGTGTGTATGAGAAAATGAATGCACTTAAAATATTTAATTCATGTACCATTTTCAAGAACCTATTCAGAAAGAAAAGAGGTAAGCAAAATGGAAGACGCACTGTAAATGGCCAACATTCTGAACACAGTACAGAATGAAGTTCAGGAAATGGTGAACAGTCTGCATGGCAAGTAGTTATTTTCATGTCTACATGGGAAAAATGGGCTGAGAACTTTAATAGTGACATCAGCTGGAGGTGGACTGCAAACTTCCTAAGTATTAGTGCCTCAGAAATGGGAGATAAAGGGGTTCATTCAGAACATGGCTCTAGATCACAATCATGCTCGCTTCACTTCAGCTCTCTTGCATTTCCTTTTGCTCCTCAAAATTCTTTACTGCCATATTTGAACCTTTCTTCCCCCACAAATGAATGAACTATTGCAGCTTTCAGCTTTCAGCTGAAGCATGCTTGACTAGAACTTCATTGATGGAGATAGTGCAAGGAGAGGTTTAATGTGTGAAAAGATACAGGTAAGAAGGCCAGGTGAAAATGTCAGGAATGAAGGATACCTGACAGAATGTTTCTTAATGCATTTAACAATGAATTTTGCAGCTGTTTTCCACATCTCCTATACCTCCTGTAGCTAATAATCATGTGAAGTAGAGTTAGTTATCATCATTGCTTTATGGAGCTGTTGTAGGGAAACTATTTGAAAATGTTCCAAGGAGGAAGTCAAATCATAAGTCATTAAAGGAACCTTTCAGAAGGAGGATGGAGGTACCGCTCCCATTGCAAATGCCACATAACCCAGCATTAAATAAGACCTACCTTAGGAGTACTTGTCATCATTGCAAAAGCTTCAACACTCTCCCTCATAGTCATGGAGTTTGGAGAAGAAGAAATGCAGAGGAGAGCACAAGGATCAGATAAAATCAAATAAGTGTGATCTTATTATGGAAGTCTTTTAAAGCTTGGTAGAAGCTACTGGATGGCCTGGTAAACACAGATAGAATAGGGTAAAATGGCAGAAACAATGTTATAGATGTGCATGTGGCTTGATGCTGCCTCCAGTCAAGCTGGCACATTTGCTTCTGCACAGTGGCCACTTGTGGTCCCCTTCTTACATCGGTGCCCTCCCCAAGTGGGATTCTGGATTCTGCTGCATCAGAAGCAAGCTGTAACATTGATTGACCCACATAAGTTATCATGTCCATTTCTCACTCTGGGACAAAATAGCATCCACCTTTTTAAATTCCTGGTGGTGGCTCAGAGCAATGCTAGGGAAAAGTTAAAACAAGGGCTTTAGATTGAGCCACAGTACTGCAGAAGCAAGGCTGCAGTAGTGCTTGGCACAGAAGCGACGCTGCTATTTGCACAACCTTAATTGACTTGCTTTAAAGTACAGCAGCCTTTCTCCAGATGTGGCCTAGAAATTCCTCCATTCCTAGGGAAGAATCCTGCTGTTTTGAGGATGATGGGAACTGTAGTCCAACATATCAGGAGGGAGCTGGACAAGGCTGCTCTACCCTGTGCCAGCATTTCTGTGCTATGTTCTTGTGGGAACATTTGAGGAATTTGACCTCTGTGACTTCCATTAGGAACTGATCCAAACTGTATTTCCTGGAATAATCGTGGACTGGAACATGGCTGTGTATCGGCTTTCACTGTTCTCAAAAACAGTATACAGCTTTTGTGCAGATTTTAAAGCATGTAAAGTAGATTAATGCAGAAACAGGATGGCATGGCCTTGTGAGAGAGCATATGCAAAAGTGACATGGACTAAAACTGAACTAAGTTTTCTGTTCAAGCTGGAATAGTTGATGGACATCCACACCTCATTCAACAATATCTCCTAATCCAAACCTTAGAGAAGGCTTTCGATTATTAGGCCAGTTGCCTTTCCTGGTGGACCACTCCATTCTACTTGTTTTTAAGTGGCTTTAAGCAAATCCAGGGATTCAATAGACAGTTAACAGTGCATTTATGTGCAAATAAAGTATAATTAGAAAACAGTCACAGAATGTAAAGTGCAATTCATGCACAGTTCTCTGGATGGAGCTCAAGGTGCTTCCATGGACTGCAGACAGCGTAAGAACTGGCTACTGCTGCACCTTCATACCTTTTTGATTTTCTTTTCATTTTCTCCTTATTTTTTATCCAAAGGTATTTTACCAGACATTTATGTTAAACAAAGATTTAAAGTAATCTGTACACACCAATCTGTTCAGTGCAATTAATCCTTTCAGCGTATTAATTCTTTCTAGTTTTTTTTAAACATGTGATGCTTAAACCAGTATTAATTTAAATCAGCCAGCGACACAGTTGTAAAAGTTACATGGCCATAATATATCTTTCATTTCCCTTTAATGTCTGCTACAGTAAGAGCATTCATATTGGTAAAAAGGGTAATTTTTTTACAACTTTAGAGGAAATATTTATTCATGAAACACTTTGCTTAAAGCATGCAGTATTATGGGTAAAAGGTCTTTTAAAAAAGGTTTCCCCTTGGGTTGTCACAACATAGTTTACAATCTGCCTGCAAAATGTGTCGCACACATTTTAATACCGTTTATTACATGCAGAGATTCTCCTTCAGCTGACAACCATAGAAAGTTTATCAAAACTGAGTAGCAAGAAACATGTTTACACATTCCAAACTTGCCCCTCAGACATTCCTATTTTTAGTCCTATTTGAGTAGAACAATGGGCCGTGTGCTAAGGGCATGTGAAAGAAAAATAGATACAGCCTTATTGTCCCTGAGCAATAGCATATTAACTATTCTCCAGAGGCAAACATATGTGAGTAATGCCACATTTCAGTCTATTTTCCTCCAACCCTTATCACAACTTCCATACTTCCTTTGTGCTGGATGTACTTTATGTACAACTCCTGAGACTTAAACGGGTGCTTTCCTGTAGAAACCTGAAATGTAAATCGATCAAAAATGGCTCTCTTCCACATTCCGCTACATTCACACATGCCATAGTTCATACAAGCTGTAGCTTTTAGCGGCTTGTAATGCCATGCATGAAAAGATATAAGGCTGAATCCAGAATTAGTAATACTTAGAGCCACAGAAATCAGTAACTTCACGAGTAACTGAAGTCCCATTGATTTCACTTGGTCTAATCTAAGTATGACAAAGTCAGGATTCAGCCATTCTAATTTTACAACAGGCATTATGGCAGTGAAAAGAGGAAGAAAGTATGGTTCGGAGGGACAGCTGGGTCATTATAGAAGAAGGAAGTACATGTTCTGGTTGTTTTTGGACTGTCTCTCAATTTAAAATGCCTGAACAGCCTTGGTGACTATCACCTTGGACTGAAGGTACTGCTGATAAATGCCAGGTGGCTGAATTAGGAACTGCAGCCATCCAGCATGCCAATCTAACTTGCATCACCTCATTTCTTCTTTTTCCAATCTTAAATTCATTTATCCTATTTCAATATCAGTTTGATGTTTTTTTTTAAAAAAACAGGTTTGTATGAAAATTGATATGCATGTTTGCATGCAATTTTGCTTTATATATACATTTTAATAAGTTATTTCGCCGTAAGTTATGCATTGTAGTGTTATTTTCACTGACATCCTTATTCTTGTGCGTATTCTCCTTTTACATCAGCATTTTTGTATTCTTTTTTATTGATACACTCCCCAAAAATTCAGAGAAGAGTGCATTTTGAATGATAATTGAATTGCTGTTTGTGTATAGTTTCTAAAGTGTGAAATTAGGTATGTTTGCATGAAATGTAAGTCAAATGAATTTCTCTCTCACCTTTCATGATGAGCTGTGTCCATGCCTTCAGCATGTTGCTAAGACCCAACTCTGTGTCTCCTTTCCATCTAAATCCAAGGAGGCTCTTCAAGTTCTAAATGCATATCTGGTTTAATCACTGACTGAATGGAGGCAATCAAATCAAAGTTTAATCCAGACAAGCAAGAGGGGTTTCTGTTGAATTAAAAAAAAAGAAAAAAACCAATAAGGAGATAGGGATCCAATCTCTCCTGCTTAGAATTACACTTTCCTTAGCAGAGGTTCAGGGTTTGGCTGTAGTCCTTGAGTCAAGCCTAAACCTTGATGACCACATTTTGATGGCAGCCAGGAATCCAGCTAAAAGCTCAACCTGGAATGCTAAGAGTTCTTACATCTGGCAATAAGGATTCATGACTTGAATCCTTGCAGATGAAATACTGCAATGTACTTTTCACAGGGCTCTCTTTAACAACAGTTT